CGTGTCCGTGTCACCGTGTCCGTGCATCAAAACCCTCTAGTTGTTTACCACAAAAGTTACAAAACAATGATGCACAAGATCAATCGTACCCTTATCAAAGCTGAAATTTTTCTTCAGCCTTATTATGCACTTTTTTTCTTGAATATCTTAAAGCATAACTAGAGCCTCAAATATAATTAGAAGCAAATTAATTAATTAATTAATAATGCCACGGAATTAATTAATAATGCCACGGTGACAATAAATTTACATATGATTGCTAATATGTTGTTTTAGCATCTTTTGAAATAAATGGATTAGCTCCTATAGAAACTTCCTCAATCTAGAATTTGTGTAAAGAACATGGCATGTCTACTACACAATAGAGAACTACAAATACCCTAATCTAAAGATAATAAAGCAGCTCATTAAGGGGTAATCGGTTTGGTGTATTTGAAATGCCTGTAAACTAAATATGGTAATTTAAATGCATTTACTTTGAAGCAATTTTTAAGGAAATGGCCTATAAATAAACTTTACATCATGAAACTCGAATCAAACACAAGAGGCTACTTCTCAATTTTTCAGCTAGTCAAACAGCCAAGAAGTAAACCAAGGTCTCAAGCATAGCTTTTCTGCTATGGCATCCATTCATATGCATATCGCAAAGCAACAGATATAAAAATAGCTCATTGTGATAAAAACAAACGCATGAAACTGCACCATGAACCTGACGGTTATACTAAAACCTATAAGGAAGGAAAAAAATTAAAGAAGTGTACCCAGCAAGTTGCTTGAAAAATCCAGTAAAAATTACCGACCCTACAAACTTCCTATGTGATATGGTCAGCATTATTTATTTAACATACTAAGCATAGTACAGCAAGAAAAAAAACTAGAGAAAAAGATAATACACATACATTTGAAAACCGAATGGTGCAGACAGACCTGCTTTTTATAAGAAAATCCATCATCATGATAGCTTTGTATATCAGCAAGATTCCTCATTACTCCCGCCATCAGCTCTGCTGAATGTCTCCCTAAAACAAAATTTTAAAAAAATGGTATCAGTGCAAACATCAGACTTATAAATAACCTCAATTTAGAAGATGTGATGGTAGGGGTGCAAGTGAACCGAGCCGAGCTGAGCCATGGCAAAGGATGTTCAAGCTCAAACTACTTTAGCCAAAGCTTATTCAAACTCGACTCGAGCTCGATTCGAGCTTTCATGATAATGTTCAAGCTTAAATTCAGGCTTGCTCGTGTTTGGTTCATTTATATTTATCAAGCTGCTCATTTTATGCTAATCGAGTTAAACGAGCAGCTTATCAAGCAACTCATTTTATACTTATCAATTATCATGCTTAAATACGAAGTTTTATGAAGATATCAAATGGAAATGAAATTTTTTGGAAGGAAACTATATAATTGCTTAACAATTACCACAAATAATGATCAGCAAAGACTTAAAAAAAAAAAGAAATTTCTAAAGCTTAAACCTAAAACCCACATGCTTCCAATAGAGCTGCCAAAGGGACATAAGACGTGACTGTTTCTCACTTAATATCTTTGTTAGTAAGAAGCTAGCTAGAATAAGTTGAGCAACTTCATGATGAAGAGTGATAAGCACTATGAACTATCTTCCTAACTGATTTGAATCCCATACTAAATTATCAAAATGGATATAAACTATTGGTTTTATATGACGCATCTCTCTGCTTGTTATACTGTTCTCACTCACAAACTTCACTTACATTGATCAAAGAGTAGTGACACTGAGAAAAAAGTACTAAAGAGAAATAATACCTAGTTGATCAAATGCAGCAGAGATGACCTGAAAAACCACATCCCACACAGCATTGTACCTGAAATCAAGAAAGCCTTCTATAATAGCACATATCTTTTCAATGATTGTGGGACCAGACTTCCTTAATCCTCCTCCAAGATTCAGGTTTATCTGTTTAATTCCTTGCTTGATCAAATTCTCATCAAGGCAAGAATATATTAAACTCTTCAGTGCCTCTGTCGCAGCAAAAATAGCTTCCTCATGCTCACCAGCCAAAATTTCTAACAATAAAAGAAACAAGTCAACAACACAGCTCACCATTCTACCTGATTACATATCCAAAGGATAACTAAAAAAATCATGTGAAAAGCTAACCTCCGAGGGAATTAAAGATTATTGGAAGCTTCACAACACACATATTCCTATTTAAACTAAATACTCTTTTGGTTCCCAAATTTAGTAGGCGTGCTACAGATGCCAAGCCATCAGCTGATTTCTCCTTTTCAGGTATAAAGTGCGCCAAGGAGCACAATAGCTCGAGTAAGAACTCAGGAGAAAAGTTTGAAGCTTGTCTAGAACATAAAGTCTGCAAAATCTCCATAATACTCCTAGTGACACTACAAAAACAAACAAATCCATCTACAATAACAAAAAAAAAACCCCAATTTTTTTTTCCAAATATGAGATTTAAAGATTACCTTAAATTCGGCTAGAAACTACCGGAGAAGGCCGTCAAAGAAGAATGGTAGCTCGAAACCGCAGTCCTCAGTACTCACTCGTCTGAAAACAGGCGTGAAGGTGAGGAAAACTTACGCACAAAAGGGAGCCGGAGACCCGGCGTCGCAGTGGACGACGAAGGCGAATCGTGAACCGACTAACCGAGCAAGATCTCTAAGCCGAGATGCCGAAATCCGAATGGCCGTGGAAGAAGAAGGCCCGATTCGCCCGAACTAACTCCGAAACCGCTCTGGAGTCTGGAGGCAGCGTGGAGGGAAAGATTTGGGCATGTGGCGGGTCAGGTAGGTTTTTTTAACAAATATATATATATATATATATATATATTAATGGAGTAGCTTATCAAGCATTTTAGTCGAGTCAGATTGAGCTCGAACTCGAGTTTGTTTATTATACGAGCTCGATTATAAGCTCGAGCTTGAAGCCCGATAAGCTCGGCTCGCGAGTTCGTTATGAGTCGAGTTTAAGCAGGCTCACGAGTTGACTCGACTCACTTACATCCCTATGTCAGACCTAGCTTTAGTACTTTTTATGTACCTAAAAGATTGTATTTTTCTTAGTACATTCAACTAAATATTACTTTTGAAGGAATTAAAAAAGTTGAAAAGATAATATATATGTTTATTTAATTTTCTTGTACATGTCATTATCAAAATAGCCTGACATTAAAGTTATAACACAATGATTTAACACATAATTTAAATTTATCATTTAACCTAATTTTTACATTGCCTCTATTATTAGGAATAAATTAGGCCAAATATATTGATCAAGTTTATAATCAGGATTACTGGGTTTTTTAATATTCACAATAATAGATAGAATTTATCATCTTAGCATTATATGAAAATCACCGCACATACATATAAATAAATAAATTGATAGTAGCATGCAAAAGATATAATTTTTTTTATAAAAAACTTGCTAAGAGGAAAAATTATGAGGATTGATTTAGTTGAAATTGTTGTAATCCATGATCCCGAGTTTGAGATTTTGATGATGACAAATAATGTCGCCTGAACAACTATTCATTGAATATCTTTGATTTTTGTTATAGTCTGTGAGTACTAACATTTCAGAAAGAGCACAAGTTACTCAGGACAATAGGAAGACTCATGACTGGGTAGAGTAGGAGTGTGAGTCTGTAACATTGTAATTTTTCATTTATTTTATTTTCTCTTTTCTTGAGTCTGGCCATAAACTGCATGTAAATCTGAGCAACCATGCACACACAGGGGGAGAGGATTTTAAAAGAAAATGAAGATTTTTTTTCTCTGTTGATTGTACTGTACGACTTTATATCGTATTGTACGATCTGATCTGGTTAAAATGCCTTTCTGTGAACAGGTCGTACTGTACGATTATTATAGTACTATAAGATGTGTTACTAATCCAAAATTCTAGCCGCCAGATTAGTTTAAGTAAGTTTTGTTAGATGTTTGTACTGTACTAATGCAATTCGTACTGTACAATTATTTTAAATATTTACTTAAACTAACCCATAATTAGTGGAGTAAATTAAGGATTAATCTCTGATTGGTTATCGTACTGTACGAACATGTCGCAGTACGATGAACCGAGGTTGTTTTTGATCGTCCCAAACTTCTTACCGGACGATCCCTTAATTTTGACTAATTGTACTGTATAAAGTAGGTCGTACCTTACGATGTACAGAGATGAGTTTTGATCGTCCCGACTATCGTCCTGTACGAGCAGAAGAGTTGATGATCGTACTGTATGAGTCTAAATCGTACTGCACGATTATATTTAGAAGTTTTTGAACTGTTCGTAAACCTTCGTACCATGACGAAGCTTGTTTATACTAATCGTACTGTACGATTGTAACGGCTACTTTGAAAAAATTTCAGGGTTTTTGGAGCCCGTTTTAAGTATAAAAAAGTAGTATTTTTGGTGTGTGATAGAGAGAGAACGTGGTTAGAGTGGGAATCCTTGGGAGAGAGCTCTTGAGAAGATTTTAGGGTTTGAGAGAGAATGTGAGCTTGTAGAGGGAGAAGGAGTGTGAAGGAGATCACACGGTTGCTCCGTACTTGCTGCACTTTGCTCCTCATATGGCCCAGAAGATCTTGTGGGAGGCTTTCTTAGGGGGAGACTCGTCTACATCCATGTCATCTAAGGTACTATGCCTTCTCCAGGAGGGAGAAAAATGAGAAGGTACGCTGCCGTCGCTAGGAGGATGAGAAAAGCGCTTGGCACTCTACCACGTCGTGTTGGTGAAAGTGAGGTTTGTAAGGGCTTCTCCGCCTTGCCGAGGGGGGCAAAAGGAGAACAATAGTTTTGTAGTGAAATTCCCGAAGTGAAGGACTCCGGGGAGTGGACGTAGGTCAAGTGACCGAATCACTATAAATCTCTGGTGTGATCTTTCCCTGATCGCTTTTTACTTTTGCTTGCATTTGATTTTCATTATAACTTCTTGGTGAAATTCATTGCGGAATCCATTGTTGCTATTTGTGTTAAAGTATTTGCTTCCACATTAGTTAAATTTTTGTCAAAAAATTTAGCGCAATTCACACCCCCCCCCCTCTTGGCGCATCTAGTAACTTCAGAAATGATTTTAATAGTGTTAGTCGTAGGTAACAGACAGTACCCTGCCCCACTTATAGAGAAGATAGTAATACAACGATGTAAGCGTAAACTATAAAAGATGACTTTCATGGTGATGTAGAAAGAGCCTTTAGGCATTGAAAATATTGTCAAGTGATTGTTAATAGTCATCATGATCATTCTTCTCATATGATTGAAGACCAATGGCTCAGAATGTGTGCATCGTCCTTCGTAGAGGGTCAACATTAGTGTCAACAATATACATCAAACTTATTGGTGATATTGGGGACTGGTATTAGTGTCAATAGCATGTATTTAATTTGTTGGTAAAAAATAGGCATTGGCATTAACATTTATTTCATGCATCAGTGTTGATGTTAACAAGTAGGTGTCAACATTAATGTTGACGATGATCGCCAATGTTGGTGTCGATGATAGTTGTTTGCTTTATTAATGATTGTGGATGTCAACATTTTTTGTGATAACAGATGTCTACTAATTTGGTGACAAATGGCCATAATATTGTTGGTGATGACAAACATTAAGTGTTCGTAGTTAATGCTTTATATTCTAAACTTTTGAATCATTCTTAGAGTCTCATCTTAGCCTCTCTAAATCTATAAAATTAGGGTCTTTTTATATATTTATGGAGATGAAAAATTCTGATCTTTTTTACCATAAATCAAAACCCTCATTCATACAGTATGTGTTAATTCCTTTAATCATATAATCTTTTTCAAATATTTAGGTATCATAGAAATGTCAAAAATGGGCAATCCTAGGCTCATGAAATTCTTCTCGTTGAGATACATATATCAACTATAAATCTATTAAAAACAAAATTGAGATGTTTTCGAAATCGATTTCAAAATGTATAATTGAAATACTTGCATTAAGATTTGTGTTTGATTATATGAAGTTTATGGTGACATATTGAGGATAAGTTTTAAATTCATTGAATATATTTTGCAACCGAGTCACTACCGAAAACCACCATATTTTGCAGCATTATATAGCAACAATTTTTAAAACACTACTAAAAATGTCATTTAGTAGTGGTTTAAACTGCTGCTAAAATTAACATTATTTTTTTTCAAAGCATGTTATTACCGATGCTAAATAAGTCATTTTAATAGTGGTTATATTAATTACTTTTCATATTGTTGGTTTGTTAAGAATCCTAAAGAACATTCTAATGATTGAAGTTTAAAACATAAGTAATTTAGAGTGATAGAATTACCACATCAAAGTTCAAAAACTATATTGCATAATTGTTACATATAGCATGTTAAATACACATTATCTTACAATTAACAATAAATATGTATAATGAAATGAGAACATATGTTGACATATTAAATAATTCAATGTTTATCAAAACTAAGATATTGCATAATTATAGCAATTATAATCACTATAAGTATTGTTTCTTTAAGGATTGCAATTATTCTAACCATAACAATTATATTTTCTTTCAACATTGCAGCTATTTTATTGTTCGTTATAAATATGCTAGAATTATAGTTGTTGTAATCGCTGCTATCTATTGTCATGATAAATCTTCCTCAATAATATCAATTGTTACGAAATGACTTTACAATGCCAAACAAATATGTTGGCCTTACATTGATTTGAAGATTGCAACAAGCTCTATTGCACAATTTAAGGCTTCGTTTGAGGATTAATTATTTTGTGCAGACGTCGAACGTCGTTCAGAGACCAACAAGAATGTCTCACATCACCCCTTTGTTGTGTATCGCGGCTCGATACTACTTAATACCTCGGATCGGTACCACTGATATGCTGCACCTAATTCGCCTCCGAACGTAGAGCTACGTCCTGCCTCCGCACAAAATAATTTCTCTCGTTTGAGACAATTTTCTTACTACTTTTTAAAGTAGTTTTCACTTATAAAAAAATTCTCGAAAGCAGTAAAAAAGAATTAGCCAAAAACTGTCCCAAACCTAACCTAAATCTAAACTAAAATTCTAAAAAAATGCTAAGAGAGCCCCAATTCCTTGTAGTGAGTGTAATAAAAACTTTAATTCATTATTTATATTATATCACTCTCAAAATGAATTTAATAGATTTAAAATAAATATTAATAAAATTCTTATAGAATACTTTCTTAAAATTTTTCTCAAATAATTTTTTTACTTCCTAGGTCCTCGACTAATAGTCGAAGCCCGAAGAAACTTGCCTAAAATTTACATCTCAAAGAAAGATTGTAAAAGCAACTGTTAGTTTAGAAAGCCATTGGGACATTTCAACTTTCTCCCTCTTTTTCGTTTATCACTCACTACTATGCTGGTCTTCAATTGTTATGTATTATGCTTTAATATGCAGTTTTGATGCTAGAGTAAATAGTGGATCCATGGAATTGTGTGCATGAGGTGATCGATTTAGTGTTGAGATGAGTTTTTGGCTGGTGAATTATTTTTTCTTGGGTGAAAGGGAGCCCCTTTTCCTTCAAGAAGTTTTTTTTTTTGTTTCGGGTTACACCCGTTTGATGTTTTTGAAAGGATCTCTGTTAATTTTCATGACCATTGATCAAACTTTGATGGGTAGAATGCTAAATCATTAAGGGAAAAAAGTCGGTTGGTATAATTTGTGAGGACTTTGAGTTGTCAAGATTTCTGATTTATTAGTTGTGCTTTGTTGCATTGTCTCACTGATACTTCGGCGGACTTTTTTTTTTTCACCCTTTATAGTTGA